TGGGACTATCGATTGACCACTATTGATGACACATCGCCACAATCGATTGTTGCTTAAACTTTGCGTAAGGTTCATGCGAATATCTGTGGATTACATTAAGTAATAACTTTAATTGAAGACTATTTGATGGTATTTTTGCAAAACTTTCTTAAAAATATAACTTATTGTCCAATTACCTCAGATGACTGGACTTCCAATGGCAATATGAATTACTCAACCATTTGAAGCCATTTTATTATGAACGAAAGCTTAAAAATGACTGATTTTTCGTCAAGCCCTTTAAAAATAACTACTGTATTTTACAGTATTTTTAATAGCAACAACAATTGTAACAGACTATCGGTTATCGATACTATCCAGTATGTTTATGTACACTTAGATGGAGCTTAAAACTATATATTTATCATAAATCAATTCGCTTTTGGAGTAACAAGGACAGGAAAGCGATATTTATTGATTCGTCAGATCGAAAACATATACAAATTTAATATTATCGTTAAGATAATATTCTGTTCCACAAACCTGGGAAAACTGTGAGCATTTGCGCTATGTAATGAACTACTTGAAGAGTATTCCATTCATGCGAAACTAAAATACAATCTTTTGGGATTGTCAACTGCAAAAAGTAACTTTTCTTATGTCGCACACAGTTTATTTAGTTCGACAGCCTCTTTAATCTCGACTAAGTGCTCCTAAGGGAAGTAACCTGTCTGCTCTTTGAGAAACCAACGTAAAAAAGCAAATAAACTCAACCACTAGCTCCTATGTAATTATTTGTATATCTTTAATTTCAACATCCTCTGGGTAGCCCATGTGTGCCGACGCGGGAAAGGAAATGAAAGGATACATGCATCATGCGTCATGTCCACCGTCTGATTCCATGCCACGTGCTGCGTGTGGCCACCGTTGCAACATTGTGCCAATAGGAGCTGTCTGCCAGGCATTGGCTTCCAATTTCTGTCAGTCGCCAGCGCAACTCTTTTTGCTTGTGTTTACATTTTGGCTTTTGCCATGGCCTGCCACTTCCCGCTCCCCTTTGGGACAACTGGCGACCTCAGTGCACTGTGTGCCATTGTTTTAAAACTTTAATACATGATATTTTCTGTCCCCTTTTTATGAGTATATGCATATGTACGTAGTTATTTTTCTTGTTCGTGCGTTTAAGAAATTTTAGAAACAAAAATTTGCTGCATGCTTTTCGGCGCGGCGAATGAAAGTGTGTGTGTGTGTGTCTGTGAGTATGTGTGTGTGTGTGTATTCCCCGAGTTTCACCGCTAATTAAATATTTAATTGTCATTTTTGGCGGCGTCAGAATTCAAGTAAATTAACTTTGTCAGACATTTTAATTAAGCGAGAGAAAAACCATATTGCAAGCCATATGACACGGCGCTGGAGTAGCAAATGGAAGGGCACAGGTAGGTTGAGGTTCGATTGTCACATTGTTTGCGGTGAATACGCGGTGACAATGCAAAGTTAACCATAATGAGGCAACCAGCTTGTGGGCATGGCCTAACGAGCTTTCCACCAAAAGTCATTTGCATACATTTATCGAATGGCTAATATACATTTAGTTAATATACCCGCAAGTATAATGCAAAAACAAAATAAAAGCTTTAAATTTATATTAGCGGTATATCGCCTTTTTCCTGCCTAGGCGATAATTTTGCGATAGCAAAACATATTATTCTTAGTGAAGGCAGCAAGAAGTCCGGATTCGCAAGTCAAATTTATTGTTTGCTATGAACCGAAGCAAAATCCGAAACAAATCATATTTTTTCAACAAGTAAGAGGTTCTAGTCGGGAGCTACCGACTAGGGTATACCCTGAACCCTCTTCTTCTAACAGGCGATAGGTATAAAATGAAAGATACATACTTGATATATACATATATACTATTCCAGAAGATACATGTCAAGTTTCAAGGATTTCGATATCATATTTCTATCGATTACTTGGGAACGGGGAAAGTTAATGAATGTCGGAAACAAACTCGATCTGCGCGGGCAAATACATTATATATATTTTTCAGGGTATAAAAATGGAGATCAATATTAGAGCTGAATCATTTGATTTAAATGTTTAAAATATATAAAAGACCAGGGCTGGAACCAAAAAGTAGGTTCATGGCTGTAGAAAAACAGTTTTACGAACTGGATTCACGTGAACCAAATCATTGACTTTTTTGTAGGCCCGTTTTTTTAAAATTTCAATTCAAATATCAATTAATAAACCTATTAATTTTTTTTGTAGTACAAATATTGAACACATTAAAATTCTAACTTATTTAAAATGAAATAATGATTGTACCAAAGATGAAAGCAAAACTTTCTGATATCTAGGGCAACATTTCTTCTTTTCGTCCAGGCAAAACGCTTTCCCATCTTTCGGCCAAAACACGTATCCATCATTAAGATGAAAAAAATAATAGAGAAATATTATTTGGGCCAAGAAACACCTACTGAAGATATTGCATTCTTATCTATCGCGATATGACACATGAATATGGATGTTGTATATAAAATGAATCGAGTTACAATTGTTGGCAATGTTCAGTTGTTGGCAGTCTCTGTGGGTCAGAGAACCACGGCACATCGCATAAATCAGCTGCCATATTTTCGTTGTGGATGGGCAATTGAATTACGACTGGCAACCTGAAAGTGCGACGGAAACGGAAACGGCCGCCTTTTGGGCCAAGGACTACATATGTATATCCTGGCAGCCGAGCAAAAGGCAACGACGTCTCTGCCTGCAAAACTGCAAGCCAACTCCATGACGCACTTACTCGTAAAATATGCGCTTGCATCAAACAATACCCAACGGCCCAGTCGCTGCTCCTGTCACTGATATGTGTGTGAGTGTGAGAGTGTGAGAGTGTGAGAGCGTGTGTGTGCATGTGTGTGTGTGTGTGTGTGCGGTTGGGGTCATCGCTAGTTGCTGCATTTTAAAATCGTTAGCCATTGGGGTAATGCGGTTAAAGCTGAATGGAATTTACGGCAATATATCTGCACAATTCTGGCGGAGCCTCGGGCTTGCTGCTAATCAATTTGCCAGCAATAAGCCAAGTAGAACGAACAAGATGTTCACTTATTTAATTGCAGCACATGCCAAATTTAATTGTCAGCCATTGCAATTGGCTTCACAGTTTCTTAGATTTCATTGTAGCCATAAACAAATTGCAATTGTTGCAGCCCCATGGGGCATCTAATTATAAATTAATGTTTAAAGACTGTAAGTTGTGGCAAAATATAATTTTCAGTGTTGAAAAAGGACCGTATGCGATTGGTAGTGTGTAAAATGTAGCGCTAAAGACTATTTAACATATACAAATTTTTATTTAAATTTCAGTTATAAATAAATTTGTTTCCATATAGATAGAGATAATTATCAATTAGATATTTGAGTATTTAACGATTATTTGTAAATAAGTTTTTGGATAAAAAAGTTTTTAGCTGACTATTAAAAATGCGATATAGTGACAAGTTTTTAGTATTAATTTTTTTAATTTTAAATTTAAAACATTTTTAGGCATTGCCTTTTATAATTGAATTTCCCAAAGTTCTTTAACGAAATTTGAAACAACAAAAATCGTTAAGCTTAAGCTCTTTGTGCGGGAAATCGCTGGAAAAATATTGTGCAGTTTAGCAGCGGAACTTCAATTAAACAAAATGTAGGACACTTATAACGGAATCTACGGGCTTAAGTGCAACGTGAGTGAAACGATTTTAATTGAATGCCACACATGTGTGTAGAGGCAGATATGACGTATGTATGTGGCTAGAGGGGCTCGTTGCAAAGACTATTGTAACGAAAAGCTAACAACAAAAGTATAGATCAACAGACCCAGAACAAAATCCGAATGTACGTTAGATTCGCAGTTTAAATCACAAGCACAGCAAAAAAAAAAAACAAAGCAAAAGAAGATATAGATGTCGCCCTAGGGAGCTGTCAGTCGAGTGGCCGTATAAAAATTTGGAATGCAAAAAGGATTACAGGCAAACGATTTGCTCGATAAAATGTGTCAAATAAAAACTGACAAAAGCGGCAATATTCATTTGGTAAACGATGGGCCAGAGGCAGCCAAAATATACATATATATATGTAGTTCAATTGGGCTAAAACTCTATTTAACTGCCGAATGCAATTGCCAACTATTGGCTTAATGCAAAACAACAACAAGAATCTTAAATATAATTTTAAAGACTACAGTTGCTGAAATTCGGTCGAACGGGCTTAGAGCCATCACGTGCTTTTCAGCCGAGAGCACCAGAGATTCAATTTAACAAATGCATTTGCGATACTTAACTGTTGAGCAGAATGTCCTTGCACACCTGGTCTTATTTTAATTGAAATTTATATTTAATTAAATGCAACATTAATTAGCAGCATAGCTTTGAGTTGAAGCGCGCTCCCGTCACCAACCAACGCACGAGAATATCGCGAAATATAATTGCCGTGCCGTAATTCGAAAGACCGGGTCTCGCACCGCTGTCGCGCACAGTTGCAGTTGCACTGTTTTCTGTTTATGCCACGCGGCGGCAGCTATTTGGCGGCAAGGCAAAATGTTCCTGCGCACTCGCTGCCACTGGCGAAAGTTTCATTTTAAATACCTAACGGACAATTTGCTAACTTCCGGTTGCTAATTTGCACAAAGCTCATGAAATTTACTTCGGCCAATACAAAATGCAATCTACAGTGCGACTTAGATTAATAATCCATATGATTTTAATTATAATCTTATTATTTATCAAACTCTTATGCGTGCACAACTTGAAATAATATACATTCAAGTTCTGCGGACTTGTTGGCGCTCTAAGGTTTAAATCGGTGTTCTATTTATCAAAAATCGATATCAGCCGATATTTCGATTTTTTAATTAAGTTCTTCATCCCTGGCGGCAATGTTTGACCAGGCATAATATCAAAGTTTATTTGAAAACCATTGTATACATTATGCTAAATATAAGCATGCAAATTTTAATAATTATATAATTTTTTACTCACCCGTTAGCACTTTTCTTCATTTAACAAAACATACCGAATGCAGTATCGACGCACTCGCAGTAATTGTACCAACCCATACACACAAATGCATGTACACAAAAAATGAGAGACAGAGAGAGAGTGAGCGTGTAAAGAATGGGGCGAAAACAAAATGAGCAAGATGCCGGAGCTGCGGCGCTGCCAGACTTAGCACTGCCGGTAAAAGCTTTCAATATTTTTGACTTAGAGCGTTTGCAATTATTTTACATTTGACACTTAGCATATTTTAATTGTTAATCATAAGGATATCTTATTCATTGACCATCGGTTTCAGAGATTTATTTTTTGTAAACGGCTTTATTTGCCTATCTGGCAGCTCTTCTAAAATAATGTGCGTGCAAGCGAGACAACCATCGTATCCACGCGCAAAGCACTTATCAAAATAATGAGCAGAAAAAAGTGTTGGTTTGTTCGTTCCTTCCCACCACATTCGCTATTTGAAACGCGACGACGAGAAGGCGACGACGACGACGACAGCGCAACTTGTAGCAGTGAAAATATTTATACAAATAATTTACTGTGTTAAAAATCGAAATACTTATTAATTAATTAAAGTGAAAATGTAAACGCAGTGTTTGCCAATGAAATGAAATTCATTTAAAATGTATTTCAACGCAATAACTCGCCGTGAAAATTTCGTCGTACAGGCAAAAAAGAGCCGATTTTTAGTGGAAGAAGAAGAAGCAGCAGCAGTGAAGGCAGTAAAAGCAATCGTCGACAACGACGACGAATACACGGACAAAGCGCAGTGCGAATGAAAAGCGTGTAAAGAGAAAACTTGCAAAAATTACAGCAACAACAATAGCGAGGCGAAAAGTGTGTTTAGAAAAGAAATTAAAAACACACACGCACATACACACAAACACACATACTTATGCATATGCAAATACAAACGCAATTTTGAGAATTGGTGCAAAACGTCGACTGGCGCGCGGTTTAATAATAAACAGTTATATGTATGTATGTTGCGCGAAAACATATGAAGCGCCGCAAAATACGAAAAATCAATGAAATTGTAATAAAATTCCGTATTTTGCTCTCTTTATCCTCAATTTCTGTCTCTACCGTTCGCTCGCTGTGTGCGACCTCTCTCTCCCTCTGTCTCTCTCTCTCTCTCTCTTGTTGATTTTGTGATAAAATTGCAAACAGCAGCGACCACAACAATAAAAACAATTTGCCAACCAAAAAGCAGCTCAAGTACATAATACAATACATATATAGTTTAACATACAAGGTGCGTATGCAGCGACAGAAACAACAACAACATCAACTTTTAGTATAGTGTAAATAAGTTCTCTATGGTCCAAAAATTTGTGTGTGTAGTTCAATGTAGAACGTGTGAGAAGAAAACCCGCGTACAAAATTTGATGACGTCTTCAAGCTATGCTATTGTTGTTGTTTAGTGACCAGCAGTAACAATGGTATCGAATAGTATCGCAACGTATGTAGTGTAGTACAAAGTGTGTGCAACTCAAACACACACAGGCACATGCTTACTACTGTTTGGGCGACGACGACCGGTATTTTGTAGCCCCCCGTAGAAGCCCAGCACGCCGTGATGCTGCTGTTGATTAACAACAACAACGAGATTAGCCGAGAAGAAACCCAGCAATGGCCATACAAAACTGTAGCTGCCAAGAAAATCGTGATGTAGTCAAATTTGAATAGGTCCCAATGAGTTGACAGTGAAAGAAGAAAGATAATAATAAATAGAAACTTTTACCTATGCAATGCGTGAATTAGCAATGCCCCAACAGTACAGTGAGCTATAATAGTAATTTGATTTGTACAGAAAAACTGCAAGTCGGTTTAGCGATAGTTCAGTAGATCAATTTTTACTGTGCGCACTAATTTGGACACCATTGTTGTTTAGTTTTTCATTTAAACTTCAGTTATTAGTAATATGCGTTATTATTATATGTTATTTTTAAAACATAAATAATTTCAAGGTTTGCTTCTCTTTGTGGTCTTATTAAAAAGGTCCATAAACAATTTCAGAAAAATCCTATCATAGAGCTATTTAAAGAGCTTTTTTCTTTATTAGTACGTTTAAGCGATGTCGCGAATAATTGGAATAACTCAAGGATTCGAATTAAGTATAAATATGAACCGTAGTTCAGTCGCTTAATTCAGAAACTAGTTCATTTTAACTAAAATTTGCAACGCAAATATGTAAATTCTAAAGAAGGTATCAGTAAAACAGAACAGGATATTTCTACTGTGGGCGATTGTGAATTAGAACATCAGATTCGATTGACGCTCAGAAATTAGTTACTATTATTAAATTTTATGCATACGTTTTTTCAGGCAGTAGTAAAAAAAGATGTGTTTTTATATATCATTCGTTTTTAACATTTGGAATATAACAGATTTGTCTACACAAGGGACAGTCATAAGCTTTACATATTTACTGTGACCTTATTTTAATTATAATTTTTTTGGAAACAAAACACATAATTAATCGCACTCGAGAGGAATCCGTTTAAGTAATTTATGTTCACATCTCAAAGATATTTGTAACATTTTCAACTTGTTTTTGTATTTCTTTATTAATATTTCATTTACTTAAATTAATAACGAGCAGTGCTGATTAATTAAAAGTTTTCGGATGTAACCGTACGCATATTTAAATACCCTCTTACTACGCAAATGAACCGTAGATATTGCTTGTATAAGCTTTTGCCTATCAGTTTGCTGCGTTGACGTTCTATGTCACTTGACTGTCCTGCTAGTTGTTGTAAAATCGCAATAGACCTGTCCCATACCCTCGTTAGAAGGTCTTATCACCAGTTCGCTGTTTGTGTCAGTGTGCTGCTGTCAATAAGAACGAAAAAATGTATCGTACTGCTCCCACTGTACACAACAGCGTACACAAAATTTGATTTGAATATAAGCATTTGACAGTCAGCGCGCGGCACCAGAAGCAGATTACGCTGCTAGCTGTTGTGTTCCTTACCTTTTCATACCTACAAGCTGAGCATCACTCACTCACCTGGTGAGCAAATAGGGGAACACACGAGTGCACGACGCACCAAAGTCTGTAACAAAAGTTAGTGTACGCCTTGTCTGGCATTTTACTATGCACATTTATTGCATTAGCTAGTGATTATTATTAACTTGCTGACTAGAAATTTAATATTTGTGATAACTTATTAAAACACGTCAAAATAGCTAAGTAAATCAAGCGCTAAGCGTTTGCACGTGTGCCGTATCTTTTGGCTAACAGTGTAGCACTTGTGCCGTTTTGTCGACAATGCGCGCGCTCCCTCTCTCTCACACGCGCTCAAGCCGCAGCCGCACTCACTCACACATACACTTTTTGCAAACACACATACAATCGCACGCATACTCACTCATTTGGCTCTCTTTGCTTATATATTTTTTTTTTCTGTTTTCAGTGGTTGTGCAAGAAGAAGCAGCAGCAATCAGGCAAAATACCTGAAAAAAAAGAAAAATAAACGGTAAAACGAAGAAGTGGCGACAGCGAGCAGCAGCAGCAAGTCAAGGTAGCGCGCTAAAAGTTTATTGTAAAAATCAAAGTAGAAGGCACAAAGTGATTTTTTTCTGCTTTCGAACAAACGAACGAACGTTAAACAACACATAAAAACAATAAAATATCAAAATGGTGGAAGCAATAGAGCGGTGGAGAACGGCTGCGTGAGCAGCGCGAGATCTGAGCGCCAATTATAAAATAACAACAACAAAAGCAACAAACAGTAACAGCAACAGCAAAATAAGAAGAGGAAAGAACAGCAACCAAAAGCGAAACGAGCGCGCAACAGCCGCTGGAGGCAGCAGAGGAGCTCGTCGCCGCTCATAAAGTACATAATAAAACAAAATTTAAATAAAGTGGAAGTGGAAGTTTGAGCTCAAAGCATTAACTGAGAGCAACAACAACAACAAAAACAATAGCAGAAGGAGTGGAACAAACTCGAAAAGTGTAACAAATAGAAAAATAACATCACACAGCAACAATACAAACATAACATACAAACACAATGTACGGGAAATCTAAGACATCCGCCGTGCCGTCTGATGCGCAGGCCAGAGAGAAATTGGCTCTTTATGTGTACGAATATCTGCTGCACGTGGGCGCCCAAAAGGCGGCACAGACATTCCTCTCCGAGATCCGATGGGAGAAGAACATAACGCTTGGTGAACCGCCGGGATTTCTGCATACCTGGTGGTGCGTCTTTTGGGATCTGTACTGTGCGGCGCCGGAGCGTCGCGATCAGTGCGATCACAGCTCGGAGGCGAAAGCCTTCCACGATTATGGCTTTGTCAGCTCCGGCTACGGTGTGAACGGCATTGGACCCGGCGGACCACACAATGCCGGTGGCCCAGCGCCCAGTCCCCTCGGCCAGATGCCGCCGGGCGGTGATGGCGGCCCGATGGGACCCGGTGGACCGATGGGTCCTAATTTCTTCCCAAATACGACAATGCGGCCGTCGCCGCCAACGCACGCCTCGAGTCCACAGCCTCCACCTTCGCAGATGATGCCTGGTCAGCCGCCTTTCATGGGCGGTCCGCGATATCCTGGCGGACCACGGCCCGGCGTGCGCATGCAGGGCATGGGCAATGAATTCAACGGCCCTCCAGGACAGCCCATGATGCCTAACAGCATGGATCCAACGCGGCCGGGACCAGGCGGCGGCATGGGTCCTATGAATCCGCGCATGAATCCGCCGCGTGGCCCCACTATGGGCCCAATGGGCTATGGCGGTCCGGGCGGTATGCGCGGCCCTGCGCCAGGCGGACCCGGCGGCATGCCGCCAATGGGCATGGGCGGCGGAGGTGGTCGACCGCCCCAATGGCAGCCAAATGCATCGGCGCCTATGAACGCGTACTCGTCATCATCGCCGGGTAACTACGGACCCGGACCCGGCTCGAATGGTCCGCCTGGCCCCGGAACGCCGATCATGCCCTCGCCGCAGGATAACACGCAAGGTGGTCCCGTCGGCGGACCCGGCGACAGCATGTACTCATTAATGAAACCAGAATTTCCCATGGGTGGTGGCCCTGACGGTGGTGGTGGTGGCGGCGGACCCGGCGGCATGGGCCCCATGGGTGGTGGTCCCAACTCGATGGGGCCGGTACTTAATGGTGGTGGCGGAGGACCCGACGGTAGCGGTCTTGATGGTATGAAGAACTCACCAGCTAACGGGGGACCGGGTACGCCGCGCGAAGATTCCGGCAGCGGCATGGGCGATTACAATTTAGGCGGCTTTGGCGGCCCCGGCGAGAACGATCAAACCGAATCGGCAGCCATACTCAAGATCAAAGAGAGCATGCACGAGGAGGCCAAGCGGTTTGAGAAAGACACAGATCATCCGGACTACTTCATGCCATAACAACATCATCATCACCACCATCATCAGCAGCAACAGCAGCAGCATCAGCAACATCTCAATACGGTGGCAGCTGCAGTGGCAGCTGTCGTTGCTGCTGCCGCATCCAACAGCACCGGTGGAGGGACAAGCAGCTCAACGGCCGCATCCATAGCTGCTGCGGCGCTTGGCGCAGCAGCCTCCAATTTGCTAAGTGGCGGCAGTAGCAATAACAACAACAACAACAACAACCAATCTGGCAATCCGACTGTGTCCACTGGCGCGCATTTTGCAAAGGAACTCAATTTCTAAATACACGATAGTGAAAATCCTTGGGTACATAAGCATAAAGTAAAGTAAAGTAATTATTATATGTAATAGTTTAAAAAAGAAAAAAAAAATAATAACAAGAGAAAAACGAAAGCCAATGGCAAATATGTAAAATTGTAAACCGAACAGCAGCAAATAATAAGCAAAGCAAAAGCAAAAAGAAATTAACAAAAAAAAAACAATATTCCACAACTCACATTCAAATTCAAATGCTAGTTGAACCGGTTCGAAACGGTAAACAAATGCGACCAAGTGGCAACGCTAGCGGTTTGCAGCTGGGCATGGCAAGCCAGAGAACGAAAACCATAAAGCAACAAAAATAAGCAAATATACTTAAAATGTAATGTTAAATGCAACAACAACAATATGTTTAGCAGTCTTCTGATTAGTTTAGTTGCAACAAGTCAAATCTGTAGCCTCCATATACACTCGCAAACACACACACTCACACACACACACACACAATATGTCTACTAATTTTAGCGATGTAACAATTTTACTTGCGCTTTGCATTATTAACAAAACAAAACAAAATGAAAAACTTATGGAATATTTAACAGCTACACCATCTATGTACATTTTCTGTTTGTGTGATTTTTGCATATACTTATATAGATATATACATAAACTAAGTATATAAATATTATTAATATTGTATTGTAGTAATTGAGATGGCAAACAAGATTTTTTGTTAAGCAAGTCTTAAAGGCGCAACAGATAAAAAAAAAAAAAGAAAAGAAAAGGCTTCAGAAATTCAATTGAAGTAACAAAAAAAAAAAAAAAAAAAAGGAAGAAATATTTATAATATATTAGGGAGCATAGTTAGCATTATTGAACATGTATATGTAGAGCCTGTAGCACACATACATAGGCATAACTGCTCCGTTTGCGCACTCCTTGTTTTTGTGTCTGTGTGTGTGTGTGTGCGTTGGCTTTTCTCACAATGCACGTTTTATTTTGTTTTTTTCTTTTTAAAACAAATTGTAAAAATCGCACTTTGTCGTCGTCGTCGTCGTTGTTTTTTTTTTTTGCTTAAATCTTTTTTAATTGCATGCGTTTCTAGTTTCGTTTTAAGTGTGTTTATTTCCTTCTTTAACCATGCCAAACTTCACTGTGTAAATTAAATTATACTTATATTCTTATTTGTACATTTTGTGTTTAACAAAAACAAATTGTTATTAAGTTCCTTCAATAGCCGCCCCGCAATTCCGGGTCTCTGGCGAATCGAGCAATATACATATATGATTTATTCACTTTCGTGCACTTGTTTCGATTTCTGAAATTTCTTCGATGTCGACATTGTGCATTAGGGCAGCGAAATAAATAAATATACATATAAATAAATAAATATATATATATATAATTCAATATATATATATATGTGTGTGTGCAGATTTTGGCGCATTTTATGCACATATTTATTGCAAAGTAGCTATGCGCTTAACTCTAAGAATTAGCTGTTTAATATGCATATAATATATATATTAATTATCTATTACTTAAAGGCAGCAGGCAACAAATGTAGCAAACCTAACCTAAAAAGTTTACTTCGAAAATATCACAACAACAAAAAAAAATAAAAACAAAAAAGCTGTACAAAAGTTAGTTAATGTTGGCTGTGGCTGCGCAGCTAATGTTAATATTATGCATAAAGTATATATACATATATATTTGTAGCATATATATATATATATATATATATAAATATAATAGTATATATGTCTGTGCTTGCATCTTTTTCTCGGCACAGCACATTCACATTAAAAAGAAAATTAAAAGAAAAAAAACAAATCCGTAGAATTTAGATTTGAAAGCTAATATATAAGCGTAAAACCCATAAAAAAAAAAAATGATAAAAACTAAACTTAAAACAAACAAATCAAAATGAAATTCTTTGCATTATATAAACACACACAACCCAAATCAATTGATAATATAATATAATAAAATACGACGAAAAAAATTCTATTTTAAATATTGTATGTATATGTTTAATGTGTCGGAATTTGAAATATGTGCGTGACAAATTGACGGCACGTGTGTGCTGCATGAATTATTATTATTGAATTGATGCTGCACCAGAAATGATGCGAATGCGAAAGCAACACTTAAATAGTATCTAAGTTAAATTTATTATCTGCAATCGCTTTAAGTTCAAGCGTTTCAATTGCTGGATCTATATATAAATGTATGTATGTGTAATGGCGCGGCGTTTAAACTAAAAAACAAACCACAACAACAACAACAACAAAAACCAGCAACAAAATGAAAAATGCAAAAAGGACAGAAAAAAATCCCGATTGAATATAAACAAAAGAAATGTTTAAATAAGTATTTTAGTGTTAATTATACAATTTACAAGTACACAACACAAAACAAAAACAATATAATATAAATGAAATAAAGTTTTAAAACAATATTTGTAAAAAGTACAAAAACGCTCTTTTCTTTTTTACAAATTACAATTTGACTCTTTTATTCACTTACAGTTTTCAATAAATTTCACTTGTATTCTATATATATATAAATATATATATAAATTGCCTTAGTTTCCTTAGTGTGTGGGACTAAAGTCGCCTCGACCAATTCAATCAATTGGAATATTTATATAATAGGAAAAGCTAGAAATGTTAAATATTTTTCAATTTTTTTTTTTTTTGCAAAAGTATCAACAATTGATGTACAGCAGAAAATAAACAAAATATTACCAGTCATACGAACCAGTTGAGTTATCGGTTTCTACTCTATATGATTCTATACACTTTTTAAAATTAGTCTTAAAACTACGTTAACAAAACTTGCTGGAACCGTCTGAATCAGAACAGTCAATAGTGGCCGATATTTAAAGTTTATAATTAAAAATAATAAATATTCACGACAATTTTAGTTATGTCTGTTTAATAAACTATGTATATTATATTAATTATTATATTATATTTTATATTAATTTATATATAATATTATTATATTAATTCATAATTCTTGATAGTTTATTAACAATGATTTAGTATTTTGTTCAGCAAAAATGTATCCACTTTTCTTAAAGCTGTATAATAATTCATTTTATTTAATTTAATAACAAAGATAGTTGAACAATTTTGAATAATTTCGTAAAAATCCCTGCTTAGCAATTATAAAAAAAGAGACAGAGTGACGCAATAACATTTAATTCAAATATTTAATGCACATTAAAAAGTAAATTAAAATCTATTTTGTTAAAAAGGCAATTTAGAAACATTACGCATACATTTCAACCAAAATCAGATTTAAAAGTATACTTGAGATTGAAATTTGTGAATATTGTGAAGTTAATTGCGTACTCATTTAGAATGGAATTTAGATTTGGAATAGATTTCAGACTTGTATTTAAACCAAACGAAATGCCACATAAATGAAACAGCTGGAAAAATTGGAGCAGTAGAGATTGCTAATATCTGATCAATAGGTAATGATCTCTTAATTGTTGCTGTTTAATTGCATTATTTTGTATAGAAATGCGTGCAGTTAAATTGGGCGGCTCCGTGCCAGAGCCAGGCGCAGACATTGACCAAATTGGCGTGGCACACGCACAGTTATTGGTGTATGGACATGGTGGACTAATTGAGGTGTCAGAGCACGTTGCCGGGGCAACGGGCCCACACAAATGTGCAGCAGAGTTAATTACTTTGGTTTGCCACTATCCGGGCAAACTCGGTGCTGATAGCGTCGTCTGCGTCAATAAAATCAATAATAAAATGGATTTTTATAACGATTTATAATCGCATCCCGTCTGCTGGCCATTGAGACAAGTTCATGCTGCAAAGTGGCGTCCTGTTTCTACAGTTGCCTGGGTTTTGCGCGCAACGTGGCTGCTGCTCCAGTGGTCAACGATTCAGAGCCGTCGGCTGCGTTGCCCAATTGCCTAACATATCGCCAAGTTGCAGGAGCCGGCAACGGTGCCGGCTCAGCGCCAGCGCGACGTGTCCCAGTGCTGTTTTCCACGAACCGTGGACTTTATTTGCGTGTGGCACAGCCACAAAATATGCTGCAACCAGTCGTTGCAGAAGCTGGACAGCATTACGACATTAGCTTTTGCGATCTGGAGCGTTGGGTGAGTTGCAGCACCTTTGACTTTGACTAGTTGAACATTTGGGAGAACTTTTTACATTCGCACACAGAGCACAAATCGCGCCAATGTGGTCAGCCTAGAGGATACGTTTAGCATCCTGCAGCCGCAGCAGCAGCCACCGAACAGCCAGCAGCCACGCGCCTGGAACAACTTTGCGTACTACAACATACAGCGCTGAGCTGCTATCTTTAATCGAGCCTGAGCTTGAACATACTGTGTGCTTACTTGAATAACATTTTTTATAATTATAAATACTATGCTAGACAATTAAATTGTGGGCCTCTCATGCCGTGTTGCTGGTCAACGATGCCATCAGAAATTCCATTTTATTAAGGAAACTCTTGCCCTCAATCTTATCAAAGCGCACCTGGAATTAAAGGCAACAATAAAGGTAGTTAGTAAATGTATTATGAAATAGATCTGTAGTTGCACTTTTTACCTCCTTAAAATTGCCACCCAAATTCTCCCAGAACTTCTCCGGCACAAGTGGACTTGGAAAGAAGTCTTGACGTGGACTACGCGCTATATAAACCTTAACATCGATTTGCGGATCGCAGCGTATCTGCACGGCGATCATGCGATCGCTGTTGGGCGAGGCGAGCAGACAGGAGCTGGCATTGCCGAGCGGCTCTACCTTGCCAATGCCGAGATGATTGCTATTCGAGAGCACCGTCCAGGCCATGTAACGCGCCAGGCTCACCAGGCAGCTGATCTGATGTGAATTGATTTGGCATAGTATGAGATCGCGCAGCTCCTGCGGCTCATACGACAACTTCATGACGCGCCCATCGCGGCAGATGCACTTCAGCGAACGCTCCTTGACGTGTATAACCAGAGAAGTGCGTCCGATGGCATCATAACCATGCGTCACAATATTAATCTTCACACAGGACATTGTGGGGCTGTTCATTGCATTCCAGTGCGACACAATTTGTGGATCCTTGACATCGCGAGCCAGCGTATCCAACACATACTGTGTGCGCTTTCTCATAAAGATGTGTTGAGCCTGGGCAATGATTTGCTCCAGTATTGTCTGCGTCTTTGTCATGTCCAGCAGCGCCTCACGATCCGCGGCAGTAGGCCCAGCCAGCATGCGTTTCTTGCTGGGACCCAATGGAGCGCTCGCCGGATGTGGAAACGGATGATGTGAGTTTTTGTAATGCACCTCGCGCAGCAGTTGATGGAGCGAATGCTCCAGCACATGATCATGATCATTAATAGGCGCCGGCTGGCTGGAATCGAAACTGGTGGAGTGGCATAGCGAGATGATTAGCTGAATATTGGGCAGCAGCGTGGCACGTATCTGATTGCCAATGACCACATGAGGAATTGGCGCCTGTAGTTGAATCGCCTCGCGTGCCAACTGTGCGAACAGTTCCTTGCAGAAGAGCACATTCTGTGCAAACTCCAAGGACTTTTGCCAAACGCCCACCTGGGCGGTTATATTGGGTCCATGGCCCATTAGATTCACCTGAAATTAATTTTCAAAATAGGAATTCATTTATCTTAAATCAAGTGGGTAAGCAAATGTTACCTGCGCGGTGCACAGATCCTCTTGATCCTTTTGGGTGATGACCTTAATATATGCTACGCCCTGCAGCTCAGCGGGCACAATAACGCGCAGCGCAGAGCTAGCTTTTGGCTGCATGCCATTATTGCTACTGCTACTGGAAGCAGTAGAGGCGTTCGCACTATTGCCGGCCCCGTCATCGTCGAGCGCATCCTCCGCTTTGGTCACTTCAAAAGTGCCGCTCATCCCGAACTTTGAGCCCGCTGTGCGATAACTTAGATCACCAATGATGGCACCATTGGATACCTTCTTTAAACGCCAATTCTGACGCAGACGCAGCAGCTCAATATGAAAGTCTGAAATGTTGCGACTGCGCTGCTCGCTGTGTGCATTGCGTAGTCGCTCGGCACCGCTCAACAGCACTTGGGCAGCCTGCGAGATGGCCTTCTTGCGACTATAGACCTGCACAATGGGCTTGGTGTCATCGCCATCCTCCAGCAGCGGATCCAGCACCAGGTAACGCTTGTCCTTGGCAATAGATATGACATCGGATAGCACACAGATTTCGGTATATGCATCCTTCAGCTTATTGCGTACTGCATCCCAGGGCCATAGGCTTTCCTGGAATTGATTGGCATCCTTGTTGTCATCTTCGGCAGCAGCGGCTGATTTCTCCTCCTTCTTTAGATCATCCAGCGAAGTTTTGCTAAAGTCTATGCGAGCTGCGCACTTTGCAAGACTCTCGGAAAGTGTCGGCGGTCTGTAAAGCAACTTGTTGAGAAAAATGCATACGCTATTGTTTGGTTTTTACGGCAATAGCCGCACTCACGGTTGATATAGCTCGGTGCCATCGTAGGCGATCTCACGTATCTGGTTCTCGCACGTTGTCTCCACGGATATATTAACCGAGTTGGACATGTTTCCTCGCCAAATCTTCAAAAGCCGGGCATTTGCATTTGCAAACGCAAAAACAAATACCAACTTGGCAGGGTTGCACCAGCAGCGATAGCTACCTATGTAGTATCGATAACATACGCTGATTCTTTACAACACTGTGACATTACTTTCATATTTTTGTTGAATTTCAATTTTTGGACCACACAGCAGTAAACCTTTCCAGCAACATGTTATTTCTTAAAAGCAAGGCAAAAACACTTGATGTCGCCAATTATACGGTCATCGTACCCAGCATCTGTGTGGGCAATGCAGCACAATTGGCTTGCGACCTGTTGATTGCATCAAAAAAACTGAAACGCATCGGCAGCCTGTCACATCCTGCCTTGATACCGGTATATGGACCCTCAGCCTACCAGCACGAGCCGGACGAGCGGGTATCATCTTGTGAGCTTTATGAATCCGCGGAGGATAAGCTATTGGTCATACAATTTCGTGCGCCACTTATTGCGCGACATACAAAAAGTTTTCAAATTAATTTAGTAGAGCTGCTGCAGGCGGCGCGCCGTGTGATTGTTCTCAGTGGCAGCTTTGGCTTTGAGCGACGCGTTATCGAGGAGTCACCTTGGGCCTATCGCGCCAGTGACAACTTTAAGGCAGCCCACGCCGCGCAGCTGGGCAATGCGTCGCTTGTAAAGTGGAAGGAGCACACGGGCGAGCACATCTTTGGCGGCGGTAATGCGCTGCAGCTGTTTAATGCTTTCGAGGAGAAGCAGGTGCCGGTCATGCTGCTCTTCCGTTATCTGCTAGAGGGCGACAACTCGACCGACGCCTCACTGATTGTGCGCGAGCTGAACGAGCTGTGCGAAGATTTTCTGCAGTTGCGCGACGGCGGCGACGGCGGCTTCAAGCTGACCGTACCCAAGTCTTGGAATCTATTATTTGGCAATGAAGTAACCGAGTTACTCTTTTAATTGTGGACATTATTTGGAATTATTACAATAAAATCTAATCTTTTGGTGTAGGATAATAGAGATTGCTCGCACTGTGCTCCCTGAAGTACTCGCCGCCATACTCCTGGTACAGCTTACGCGTAGTCAGCGATCCGCTGAAGTTCTTGCTATTAGCCTGTAGGCATGCACCCAGCCAGGCGCTCAATGTGGGATCATTCGTCTCGTAGATGGCAAAGCTAGACTGAAATGGTCGAAGTTCCAGCAGCTCTTTAGCCAATCTTTCCTTCAGGCCACGAAACTGCGCACAGCTTCCCGTTAAATAGACATGATCCACCAGGCGCTGCTGTTGCTCGGCCGTAAAAAGTTTCAGCACAAAAGCAATCAGCTCCGCCAGACCCGCTTCCGTGCAGCCAATCATGCTTGGCTGAAAGAGTATCTCCGGCACTCGTATGGCTTCCACACCAAAGTGCAGCTGGTAGTTCTCGGCTGCAATGAGCGCCTGCATGGCTGCATTGTTGGCATCATCGAAGCCGGCGTCGTAGTGCTGTAGGATTTTCTCGTACTCGAGCATCTGTTCGTTTTCCGCATCCGAATCACTGTCGTCGTTGTAGCGATTGATGCGCTTGTACACATCCCAGTCGTTGTCGTTCATGCCAAAGCCATCGTCCTCCTCATCACCGCCGTTGGCTTTGCGTCGCTTCTCGCTGCGTGCCAGCGTTGAGATGATGCGCATACGCTCCTGGGCTGCGTGCGTGTGCCGCTTGGCCTGCTCCTGACGCTGTTGCTGTCGAGCCTGCTTGCGTTGCAGTAACTCCTCGCGCTTGTCGCGCAGCTCCGACAACCATTGAGCCTGCGGCATGCCCTCTGGTGGTTTGGGCATCTTGTCCAGCTTGTCCTGCTGTTTACTGGGCCGTGGTTGGCCCACGGCGCGTTCCTTAACACGTTTGATGCGCGAAGTTAATGTGCCCATCAGCTTGTCAAGCTCCTCCAGATTTCCAATTTGCTGTTGTTGCAGCGCGCGTTCGAATTTCTGTAGTTTTTCCTGCTCATAAAGCTGCCTCAGCTTGCGCAATACCTGCAAGTACTCTTCATCCTCTTGCAGCTTCTCACGCTCGCGACGATTTTTAATGTCCAACAGCCGCAGGGCCAGCTCGCGACGCTTCTCCTGCTTCTGCTCGGCCGTTAGCAGTGCATTGGTCGCCGTCACCTGGTTGTAAGGCAGTTGTATTTTCATGATGTTGGCCTCGTAGTAATCCAGTTGAGCCCATTTAAGCAGCTCTTCCTTGTAGTCCAGTGCTATGTGACAATGTTCATGCACCAGTTTCTCAATGCGACTGGAGATGGCAGTCAGATGCACCGGGTACTTCATTTGCATCAGCCGAAATAAATAATTATTGATGTGAAATCCACCTACATTCAGCCGACGCACGTGCTCCAGCTGCATTTTGTTAGCCAACACAGGAATCACATGCGTTGTGGTATACCCAAAGGATATAATAAGTGCATCTGCTACGAGCTTATGTTTCTGTTGATGGTGCTGCCAGCTATAGAGAGCATCAATGCCGTAGGAGAGCACAGGCACGCCGTAGCACTCGAAGAGCAGTTCGCTCATTTGCCGGCGACACGAATTTGGATTGGCTAAGGCTTCGGTCAGCACAATCGGATGCGCAATGCTCTCTTCTCCATCAAAGCCCATTTTGCTGAAGATGTAGTCGAAAATTTGCTCCTGATGATTCCAATTGGTAATCACGTTACGCTCGAAGGGTGATTTGAGATGTGCCCGCACCGCCTCAATGTTAGTTATATCATTGCCTATTTGGATTTCTGCGCTGGCTTTTAGATCCTCTGCTGTTGCTGCAGGCGCAGAGGCATCCGGTAGTTGGTTGTCCTTCTTGCGATCCTTTCGTGGCTTTGTCAGTACATTGCGAAACCGTAATTCTGGCTCCTTTGTGTCGTGCCAGCCAACGCGGCATTCATACGAACCATTGTCGATTATCAGTAAGCGCTTGGGCACTGCCATCGTTTTAATTTATTATATTCAATTATCAATTTGTTTACAACTTGTTTGTTTACAGTACATGCGAATGCTGTTAAAGTATTTTTATTTTTAGTTCACGCTTTCCAACACTTTACGCTGCTTTAAGCCGTTCACCATTAGTGGCAACCCTGTAATTTAACTGTAGATCTTAGTTTGTATATACCAACTTATATACGAATGCTTACATGTATTTTATATATGTAGAACAAAATTTGCACAGGTTTGAAGATTTGCGGTGAATAAATTCAATTACTTTAATTTTGTAATGTTTGTGAAGATAAAGTTGGAGGATCAGGGAAATGAGAAGGTGAGTTTAAAATTTAAAATTATGTATTTACATGAATCGTTGCTCTTTTAGGCACCTCACATTTTTAGCATAGAAGACACCGCCTCAGTCTATGATTTAAAGACCCATTTGGAATCCTTTGTAGACATACCGGCAGATAAACAGGAAATTCAAACACTGGATCGCACATTGACCAACTTTGATGAGCTCTCTAAGGTCGTTAATCAGGAAATTGGCGGCGATAATATTAATGGAGCGGCCATTTCTCTTTATACGAACAACCAGTTTTTCTGCTTCTTGCAGTTCTATAGCCAGAACGAAGGAGATAAACAGAACAACTTCTTCAGCCAACCGTCAAATGCTAGAAATTTGCCCATCGATCATGTACCTCAGTATTGTGAGAATATAATTGACTCGGATAATTCTTGGCATTCGACAACATCCGAATCAGATTCGACAGATAACAGCAACAGTAGCAACTCCTCAGAATCAAGCGAGGATACGAGAAATCGTAAACGCAAGTCGATTCTAAAGAACGATTCTCCTCCAAAAAGGTGACAGCTAATTTATATTTAAATTGCCATAGATCATTTTTTAAATTAATTTTTCGTAGAGGCCCTTTAACAGAGCAAACCGATAGAAGTTGTGAACCTACATCTACTACAGCTACTCCGATGAGTCAGGCGAAGCCAACCCAAGACAAAATACCTGTTGTGCCAGAAATACCCGCAGTTGCACCTTCAGTGACTGCCCCAAACAACACTGCAGACAGGCAAATTGAAAACATTACAGTCGGCGAAAAGGCGCCACAGGCTTCTACTTCGTTCAACAAATCTGTTAATCAGAGTTCCCCACAAGAATTAAGTCCAGACCCAACTACGAGCCTGTCTGCTCCTTACATTGCCATGAAGCCGGAACACCGTAGATATGCGCTGGTTATTAGCCATGCCATCGATGAGCCGCATTTGGACTATAATCGTCTAATGAAACATTTCTATGAGCTATTTGAGTTCTCTCAGAGTTGTAATCGTTTAAACTTTAGTGAATATGCCACAATAACGGCTTACGACGACAAATTGTGGATGCTTTGTGAGGATGATGATACGTGCGACTGGATTGCCACAGGTGTCCGCACTATGAACTCATATAAATGTTTCAGTTTTATCAAGTATTTCGCACTGTTGAAGTGTAGTATGGTGCTGCCGCAAGTTGCTGAAGGAAAGGAGCTGATGAATATTTTTCATCTGCTCGAACTGCAGAATCAGGGCCTTAGCACGAATAAGTGGTGCGTAATGGATCGCTCTGTGCTCGATCCGGAGTCGGAGGAGTTTGCCAGCAAATCCGTAACCAGTTTGTGCAAAAATGAACAGCTTATTCTGTATGTGGATCGGGAGAGCAAGTGTTTTATACAAGAGCATTGCTTCAAACTCAAGTATTGCTTCTGGAAGCTGACTTTTGAGTTTTAAATTTATTTGAGTGCAGTCAAATTATCATATTTAGTAATTGAATTACAAACGAGTTGAAACATATAAACTTGAATAAATACCCCATTTTCGAGATGATTTTATTAATTTTTCAGTCTCAAGCAAATAACGAAAAGCTTTTAAATGCTTGTCCACACATTTAAATTCTGAAATTCGCAGACAAGCAATTAAGGTTTACCGGTCAGTAATCGATACACCGTAAATTATCGGTCAATTCAAATTATCGTTTTGTATACTTTGCCAACTTATCGATATTGTCGCTGCATTAAATTCTTGGGCCATCCCTAGGCGTTAAGAGCTCATTTTTGCATCAAAATAAAAGTAATTGAAAAAGCCAAGTCCTGCTTAAACTGCTGGGACTTGGGCTATTTAGGTAACTAATTAGAAGTAGTTGAGCATGGATTTCGAAACCATCAATATCGAGCAACTGGAGGAAGCAGTGGTTGTCTTTTACCGTTCCACATCGCAGGAACAGGCAATCACACACGAATGGCTGACGAAGGCCGAGGCCAGCCCACAGGCCTGGCAGTTTTCCTGGCAGCTTATGCAGCTGGGCAAGGTGGGTGGCATTGAGATTTCGCTTTAACACCTGAAAAATTAAGTTTTTACTGCACAGAGTCAAGAAGTGCAATTTTTTGGCGCAATTACACTACACTCAAAGCTGATGAAGTATTGGCACGAAGTGCCCCCCGAAAACCGTGAGGAGCTGAAACAAAAGATTTTGGAAACGATTGTGCAATTCGCGGGAGGACCCAAACTGGTGCTTAACCGGCTTTGTCTATCGGTAAGGGCACAGTTTGAACAGCACTTGTAAATTAAATCCATATTTATATTACTTAGTTGAGCGCTTTTATTGTTCACATGCTGGAGGATTGGCCTTGCGCCATTGAGGAGGTAATCGAGACGTTCCAAAATCAACGTATTCCGAACGTTACCGCCGATGTACAGCTGTGGATCATGCTGGAAGTGCTGCAGGGCATACCCGAGGAGGCGCAAGTTATTCATTCCTCCGTAAAGCGCGTTACGCTGCGCGGTGAGATTGGCAAGCGTGTGCCGCTCGTGCTGCAGACTATCGAGGCATATTTGAAGCAGCAAATGAACAAAGAATGGGATACCGAAGGCTACAACAATATGGCACGTGCGGTAAAGTGCGTCAGTGTCTGGATCAGGTGCGATATAACCATATATTCATAAATTTATATACTAAGCCTACTGTGAAACTCATAGAAGCATTGGCTACTCAATTGAGAGCTGCGTCAGCATCTGTGGCGTGATGTTGGAGCTTGTGAACAAGTGTTACTGGCCCTGTATTCGTTCTGGCGTTGGCTGCATGTCTGCCGACGAAAATGAACTCGCCGAGACCTGTCTCAAGGCAATGGTCAGCATAATTGTGCAGCCAGATTGTCACAATTATCCCAAGACTGCTGCTGTGCTGATCAAAATGTTTCTGGATTCACTATGCGACATCACCCAAAGGGAATGGCGGCGAGATAACGATAATGAAGACATTATTGTGCATATCTATATGCTGTTTGTGTCTGCCGTGGAACGACATTCGGCTTTATTTTTGAGCGGCATCACGGCCACAGATCCAGAGTTATTTGCCATCTGGAGCCGCATGGTACATGAGATACTGCAGTGCACAGATAAGCCGGGAATATATCCTGTAGAAGAATCATGCAGCACCATGGCCTTGGCTTTTTGGTATATGCTGCAAGGCGATGTTTTTGCCATGCCAGACGAGGAAAAGCGCAAATGCTGGGAGCATATAAAACCGCTCTATGCACACTTGACCACTGTGCTGGTTCGTAAATCCGAGCAGCCCGACGAGAGCTCCATTGACAAGTGGAACTCTGATGATCTGGAATGTTTTCGTTGCTATCGTCAGGATATTTCCGATACTTTTGTAAGGCACACACTTTTATCCTGTTAATTAATTAAGCTAAATCCCAATGCCTTATCTTCTGCAGATGTATTGTTATGATGTTTTAGACGACTACATACTGGAGATATTAGCCGCTATGCTAGACGAGGCCATTGCCGAGCTGCAGACGCATCCCACACACTGGACGAAACTAGAGGCTTGTATCTACTCATTTCAGTCGGTGGCCGAGCATTTTGGCGGCGAGGAGTCTCGTCAGATACCCAAGCTAATGCGCGTGCTCTCTGAGATACCGTATGAGAAGCTTAACGAGAAGCTACTCGGCACTGCGCTCGAGACAATTGGCTCCTATTGTTCCTGGCTCATGGATAATCCCACTTTTATACCGCCAGCTATTGATCTGCTGGTACGCGGCCTGAACTCTACAATGTCGGCACAGGCAACGCTGGGCCTCAAGGAGCTGTGCCGCGATTGCCAACTGCAATTGAAGCCATACGCGGAACCGCTCCTTGATGCTTGCCAAGCTACGCTCAGTGCAGGCCGCATGAAGAATTCGGACTCGGTGCGTCTAATGTTCAGTATAGGTAAGCTGATGAGCTTGCTGCCACCGGAGCAGATACCCAAATATTTAGACATCATAGTCAGTCCCTGTTTCGAGGAGCTGCAGACCATTTGCCAGGCGGGCGCCGTAAGTACATTAAACTATATCTGTATATATTTATACTATATTATGTCTTTGTGCAGACGTCACCTGCAGCACGCATACGCACAATATTCCGTCTCAACATGATCTCGACGCTGTTTTCGTCGCTTAACACAGATGTGGATGAAGAGCTCAAGAATGTGCATAATATGCAGCCCGTGCTGCTGGTTATGGAAAAGACGATGCCAATTTTTCGGCGCATTGCCGAGCTGTGGGTGGAGGAACTAGACGTACTAGAGGTGCGCGCCAAAAACCAAAGCTAAATGTTGGAATTGTGTAAACTTTTATCTACATTTACACAGGCTGCCTGCAGCGCTTTAAAGCATGCCATTGTTAATTTGGGAAGCAGCTTTCGGCCAATGTTGCAGGACTTGTGCTATTTTATTGTGGCAAGTTTTCAAACGCGCTGCTGTGCGCCCACTCTAGAGATAACCAAAACCGTGAGCATGCTATACATGATTTAGTTAGGATTAAAACCACATTTGACAACTATTTCAGGCCATTATCGTCTTCTTCTGGGAAGAGAGCTGCAAGCCATTGATGCAGCAGCTGTTATTGGAGTTTGTGAAGCACAGTTTTAAATTGTTTGAGAATACGCCCCATGAGAACTTCTCTAATATATCCGATACCATGGAGATGTTCTTCGCCTGTCTTACGCAAATCATTAAAAAGGTGCCACAAGTGTTGGAGGACAAAACGATTGCCTACGATCGTCTTATTTACTATGCACAGCGCGCCATGACGCTACCCGAAAATGGTCCTATACGCGCAAGCACACAATTTGTTACACAATTTGTGATGCAATCGAGAAATCATGCGCATATGACCGAAGTGGTACTAGCCTCGGGTGAGCAGATCCTTCACACGGCCATGATTTGTGTGGGCTATATGACGCCGCGACAGCAAGTGGATAAATTTGCTGATGTATTTCTATCCATTAACAAAAAGTATCCGGCCGAAATGGCGGTTTGGCTAAAGACTGTAATGTCCGTGCCCAACTTTCCCACTGAGCTCATCAGCGAGGCCGAAAAGTCGCGATACGTTACCCTTATCATCAAGTGAGTAAAATTCTTGCATATGCTATTGCATATCCTCTTGACACCAATTATATGCTTTACAGGGTAAAGTTTAACAAGCGGCTGCTGCAACAACATCTGACGGAGCTGGCTGGCAAGACACGAGGACTTGTGCCTCTACAGTCTCCAGTTAATTAAAGAGGAGATTGCTCAACTACATGGCCAAATCTCTTATATTTTATCGTCCTGTTCTGTGTAATTAGATGTTAATTGTAATTAAGGCGCTCTGTAAATGTTCCTTCCAATAAGTTGTTTATTTTTAATGATGTCAAATATTATTGCTGTGCTGGGACAGGCAAATATATTTTAAATATAGGTTTACAAATATTTTGCCAGCCCGAACGCAGCTTTAGCATCTGAAATGAATGTGTTAAAAGGCTGTTTCTTGACATGATTTAACTTTTATTCATAATTTTACAAAAATTACACGCTTTTGTTAACGCTTTATATGCCTTTTATTACAAATTCCTTTTTATAGGCCTGTATAACTCATAATATGGTTTTAATGTTGATCTTAAATTGAAAACTTTGATTTTTTCACCGTTTTCCAGCCTATGGAATTTTGCTTTATTCACTTTCATTGTTTTCTTTTATTGTTCTTTAACCCTCCATATGTATCTATAATGCCAAAAATATGTAAATACATCTCTATATATAATATATATGTGTCTATAACTAAATGAAGCCTTTCATTTACTTGGCCTGTACAGCACTTGGTAGTGGTAGCAAAAATGTGATCAGCTTTTGTAATCTGACTGCTAGAATATTTGAAAATATTTTTATTAAGAATCCGGGCCGTATACCAGGGCTTATACGTATATAATATATAATGACTGTTTTGCCTGGCATCAGTGCCAATTAATGACGGATCCAATATATACGTATGTAAATATATATATATATATATATGTATATATTTAATTATATAGAAATAGTAGCTACGACCAGCAATAGTCCAAGTCTGTTTTTGACCCCGTTTCCAGAGTTAATGGGGATGATAATTAATGATCAAGCGATATACATACTATGTTGATGTGGATGAAGTTGGAGTACTCTCGTGGTTTCATACTAAGTGTCGATGCCCCCCAACTTACACAGAAGAAACTGTTTCAATGTAAATTTATCTAAAGGAACATCTGCTTATAAATTATTAGAAGCCCACAATTAAGTAAGTATCTCCCACGGATTATGATGTCTAGGCCTTTTTTTCTCTCATTTCATCAAATAAAGTGCCTCTTCAATATTCGATACACACACAAAAAATACATACATTCATAAGCACACACATAAATATACATACCACATTTGTTTTTAACAAATTGGAATTCGCACATATATATATATATATCTATTTATATATTTATATATATATATATGTGTGTATCGTATATAATTAAGCAGTTAATGGTAAGGTAATCGCTTATAGTATAATATTTATCATTTATTACGGTTCAGCCGTATGTAGAGTTTACTGCCTCTGTTGTAGCTGTATCTGAATAAAATATGACCCGCTGCCTAACGGTATAGAAAAGTCAAGAATATTGCACTAAATTGAGCAGATTCGAATTCAAGAATAGCTGCTAGAAAGCCTAATGATAAGCAAAAAAATAAAATATAGTTTTCGTTCAAAACTAAACGCTATATTTGATTTAATAGTATCATTTTTCCTGGATATTCGACGACTTTTGCATTTCAATACGATAACCAATATATTTATTTTCCTTTATGTTAATTATTTAGTTTGGTATTTTAGCTTTTATATTTGTTGTATTGTCAGCAAAATATATATATAAAAAAAAAAAATAATGACAATGCGCTCAAAATTTACCCTTTCTATTTTCTCAGCAATTTGTTGTATACTGTTTAATAAGCTCGGTGTGATATTTAATGGTGTGTCAATATACCATAAACTATTCTGATTACTGTATATTATTCTTATTTATTGTTCTTCCTGCATAGATGTTTTGTTTATCGCATATTAATCTTGATGTAAATACAACAATTGCATGCAGAAATACAATGACCAGTGTTGCAAAGTCATGTAACAGGCTGCACATTTACATCGCATACATACATATATCTCTATATAATTATTGACTTTTGTATACCGTTTGAGTGCACGCAGGATATTTGTGTGGATGAGAATTATAGCTATAACGAAGTAGTAGTACACATATGCATAGTATGTATATATGGGTAGGTAATGCTCAATCAAAGGTGGTAGTTTCTTACGTCTTTAGCTAACGCAATGTCAATTCAAAAACTGTACAAATTTTGACGTATTCACTGAAATGGTAAGAGCATAATGAATCCATATTATTATTGGAATGGTGCATCAAAAAATTGGCAATGGCTGCATGCAGAACAACAATTGGGGCAAAAAATATCATTTCATTAATTCGTTTAATTCTTTTATGGTCATGCAATGTTTCGCGTAAACACAAAAAGCATTTAGCGCCTTTCAGCTAGAATTTGTTTGGGATTTTATTGGTTGGTATTATGTGTGTTTATTTATTTTGTAGTTATTATTGTAAATTTATAATATATTTCTATAAAAATTGTGTGCTGCATTTGTTGCCACACGCTCACAAAACATACAAACAATAATAATCGTCAGCTTATTATCATCATCATCATCATCATCAAATCATCAAATCATCTGCATCATCATCCAGCCCCCTATCATTATAATCATCGATTAGACATATTTCTGTTTCTATATAAGTGTTCTATGTGTTCTATATGTGTACTGTGTTTAATCTATGTAGAACCTTAGCGACGTCTGTGCAACGCCAGCGTTCGGGCACGTGAGGGAGGACCAGCCCGAGAATGGGGTGACAGCAGGCCTAACAGTTGTTTGCATCTGGGGGCGGCGTTGTCAGGTACTCATCGGTTCGCTTGTGCTCGATGAGGGCGCGCACGGTACCGCTGTCCGAGGGTAGGTCGGATTTTCGTCGTATCAGCGGCTTGTCCTTGTTCCGTTCACCGCGCATCTGTGGGCGAGGGGAGCGTAATGCAGACGTAGTAAGGCATTTAAATGTTGGCACCTCTGAACCCAGACCGATTATCGATTACGTTTACGATTACGATTACATAAGTGTACGACACGACGTTTGACAGTTACAAGATCTAAAGATGTTATTGCCGGGTGCAGTACGTGATGATGTGGCTTAGAATGGGTGCTATAGTTAGTTGCCGAGACACCGCATTAGGGTAACACATCGCACGATTATCTATGTACACACATTCATATACCACACACAATATACATAAAGTAGAAGTTTATATTATTTACATTGTGGCGTTTTTAAAGATCGAACAGCAATGGACGTAGTGAAAAGGAGATGGTGTACTTTGAACTTATCGTAGATTTTATGTTGCAATGCTTAGTTATTATTAAAGTAAATGATTAATGATTTCTGTTCTCGCATTAGTTTAAATTAATTGGTCTAACTACCAGTAATATTAAAACTCATTTTCCATATTAACCGATAATTATCGATTTATCAAAAGTCTCATCTTATCTTTCAGCGGAAAAAACATAATTTAATATCATTTAAGTAGCGCCTAGTGGAAGGCATCTGTCTTACCTTATATATATTTCATATGACAGAATAAAGTTGGGAAACGATAGTTATTGATTATATAAGAATTAGTGATCGATGCTCTTAATTGCAGGAATTACATTTGCCATCAAATAAATAGTTGAAGATATTAAATTTAATTTGGCTTAAGAAACAAAAGAAACTTTATCGACAATTTAATCAAATCTAACTTTAAACTATTAGCGTAACAATATTTTTGTATTAAAGCCCTAAAATAAAATCCCTAGCTAGGCCCTACCTTAATTAGCGAATATGGAACGATTTTGGCTTAGTAAAGTCATTATCGATACACAAATCGATTATAACATAAAACAATTGGTGTTACAAGTTATATTTTGTATTTTAGCTAAATGTTAATAAAATGTATTAAAATAGAATTTTTGCAGGGCATCTTTTAGTCAAAAACATTCACAAATATGGTTATATAAGTTTTCTGTATGTTATGCGCATTGAGGGAAATAGAGGGTGTGGGTGCTTGGAAGTAGTTGCGTAATAAAGAAAAGGAACGATTAAATAAGTTGTACATATATTAAAAGATACAGATACAGAAACATGTATTTATAACTGACACGAGTGCGATTATTGTTTGCAACAGGCATTCGTTCGTTCGTTCGTACGATTCGTGTTAAGACAGGTGGTTGAAGGATTAGCTGGCTGACGCACAAGCACACAAGCACACACACACACTTCTCTCAGACACGTACACAGTACGTTGGTGTGTGGCTGTGTTCAGTTAGTAGTTGTGTAGTGTGGTTAGTGTGGCTAAGGCTTGTCTCACCTCTCTGGGCTCCTGGTTTGGCTGTTGCTTTAGCGCCGGTGGCGGCCTTGACTGTTGCTCAAGCTTATCGTAGGTTAGATCACAATTCTCATTGTATTGATCGTACAGTATTTGACTATCGGACATCGGCAAACTATCGCTAAAGCGACGCGCCTTGGTCCACTCCGGATTGGTTTTGGCCAGGCTCTCCACCTGTTGCCAAAGCTCCTCGCGTTGCGAAAGTTTCTCGCGTTCCCTAAAAAAGTTTGGCAGGGTAGATTGTTTCCGTTAGCCAAAGGATAAACAATAGAGGTTTCATGTTCTTACTGCTGCTTCTCCTGTTTGTAGTTCTTGCTACACTCATCGAACAGTCGCTGATTCATCTCCATGAACAACTTAAGGGCATTGTAAATGAGACCGTGAATGGTCTTATTCCAGTGCGTCTTAGAGTTACGATTAAGCGCTGGAAACATGATGGGCAATATGGTCTGCGAATTGTCCGCTATCAGCGACATAATGTACTCATTGTTCCAGTAATAAAGTGCACGCTCCGCCACCTGAAAGTGCGGCGAAGAGACGCATTTGGATATCTGCCGGAATAGCGGCGCCATCACCTTCTGAAATTCGGCCGGTTCAATAACATCGAGCAGCTCCTCTACCTCGTTCAAAAACATAACCTCCTTAGGACTGTGGGTTTTGGGCCAAAACTTCAATAGACTTCTGCAAGAAGCAAGTGTGCAAAGGTTAAACTCGATTGTATTAAAAAGAGCGGATACTGCAAACTTACTTTATGACCGCCTCTGACAAACTTGGATCCTTTTCAAGGAACTGCACCACGCAGTATGTCAGCTGCGGATGGTATACGGAGAGGCTCTTGGCTTTGTGCAATGGCAACAATACCTTAAGTAAAAATTGTTTGTGCTCCTCCTTGAGCGGTAAAGCGAATCCATTAATGATGCTACCCAATATTTCCAGCAGCTCGGCAATGCCATTATGATGCTCCGTTTCGTAGATAAATCTGTAAATAAATTGGAAATGTTGCAAACGTTTCATTCACATAGGAAAAATATACGTTTAAAAATAAA